GTGGGCTTAGCTTTGGGGCAGCCTGATGTTCAGAGCTGGGGCTGGCAGCGCAGGCAGGCACAGGGGCTGTGTCTTCTGCAGGCGCTGCAGCCAGCTCCCTTGGCAAGCACTCGCAGTAGGATTTCCAGGAATGTTTTGTTTCCTGACCTTTTCAAAGCAAACAGCCCAAAGGTAGCCAAGCTGTCCTCTGTCTGGTGGCAGCCTGCGAGGCTGCGCTCCAGCACAAGGGGAGGCAGCAGCAGGTACTGGGGTTTCGTTCGCACGTGGGGCCAGGTTGGGGTGCGGGGCTTCTTGGGGAGGGGAGGCAGCTCTGTGGGCAGAGCAGGTCCATGTTGTTCCCTTGTACACCACAGCCCAGGCACCCTGCTCTCCTTCTGCTGTGGGCTCTGGGTCTCCCACACATTTCTCCCTATGTGTGGGCTCCTTTCCTCCCCTTCCCTCCCCAGCTTGGTGGATAAGGACAGGAGACATCTCCCCCTGCCACAGTGAGTCACCTTTCAAGGCTTTCTGTGTTTGCACACAAGGTGACTAGGGTGAAAGCCTCCCAGGACTGGCCTTCCCCTGGGTACTGATTTTGCAAGGGCTCAGCATGGCAAGAAGGTAAGGGCAAGCCACGAAGCTTGGGGCAGCTCTGCCCTTTCCCACAGGCAGTGCAGGTGTCCTCACGAGGCTGGGCCAAGTCTCTGGATCTGAGGAATTTTGGAGTCATCCCTATTTCTCAGTGGAGCTGATTTCCCCAAAGAGCGTCCTTCCAGGCCAGCCTAATGAAGGGGGCCTTGACCCACGTCCAGCTGTGCATTCCCACCCTTGTTTATCCAGGGCAAAGCATCCAGCCCTTCTGCTGTCGCCCCTCAGCAGGGCCCAGCACTTCTGCCCTGGCTCCTGGGGCAGCCCAGTCCCTCTGGCGAACAGCACTGCACGTGCAAACCCAGCTTGAGCCCCAGGGGTGTGAATGCACAGGCTCCAGACCTGCTCCTGCACCTAAGCTGACATCTGCTCCACTGACACATGCATGGTGGAGGCAGTGCTGAAATGCAGCTATGTCTAGGGTGGAACAGAGCCGTGTTTGAACTCCATGGTGCTGCAGGCTGGAGAGTAAATCCAGCTGCAGTATGGAGGGTGGGAGCAGTCAAGTGGCGAATATGTGTGCATAAGGTTGTAGGGGAGTCCAGGAGAACATCTGAGCAGAGAATATAAGACAAAGAGGCTCTGCTTATTGTAGCCTCCGTTCCCTTTGCTTTGCTGGCTTGGATGGGCTGTGTTTGCATCAGGGTTTTGTAGCGGAAGGTTCTGGGCCACCTCAATTCAGTCTTTGCTGATGCAAGGATCTGAAGGTCGAGGGCTGCTCCCGAAATAACCAGCTCTATCCTTTTCAAGGAGTTTCCAGTTTAGGAAACAGGCTGAACAGATCTCCTTGCCTAAGCCCAGTGCTGCCAGCCCCTCTGCAACCCTTGGCTGCACCCTCCCTTTTAAGATACCCCCCCAGCGTATCATGATTCCCAGGTTTGTGACTCCCTTCCCAGGCTCCGTGGCTGCAGTAAGCCAGAGCTCCAGCTCCTGGTACAGGCAGGGGAAGGAAGGGTTAATGAGCCCCTCCATTGGGGAGCAATTGGCATTGATCTTCATAGGCTTGCAGTCAGGTGGGAGAGGAGGAGGGAGAGATGGTAGCTATATTGTGCAGGATGGATCACCCCTGTGATCCCATGTATACCTGGGTACCTCCTCCAGATATCACCCAGGGGACAGGGAGCATCCTTTCTGCTCCATGGTTGTATGTGTCGAGGCTCTTAATCCTGCTGTGCTGGAAACAATCGACCATGTGAGAGCCCTGGGATGGGGCATTTTCTCCCTGAGCCCTGGCACAAACAGCTCTGCAGAGCAGTCCTGGGAAGGTCGGGGAGCCGTGCCCCAGAAACTGCCCTGGCCCAAGCACCCCGGCTGGAGGGCAGCCTCTCCGGTAACCAGTGTCAGCTTGGTGTTTCTCTGGTTTGCATGAGAGCCAGGGGGCTGCGGGTGGGCAGGCACCACTTGATTGCATTATCATCCTCCGAGCAGTGAGCATGGGGGACAGAAGGGGATTTGAGACACCCCTGCAGCTGCTGGCAGCATCTCAGGGAAGGGGCGTTTGTCCTGCTCGGCCCCATCCTGCTTCCCAGCCCGCTGGCCCCTGCAGCGGCAGGGTTAAGGTGAAGTAAACACGTCTCAGATGGGGATTTTCCACTCTGCCATGCCTTGTTATCTCCCGAAGGGGCGGATCTGCTCTCCAGCCGCGCTGGGGATGCTGCCTCACTCAGCTCCTGGCTTCACACAGCCCTGCATGCCAGTGGCCAGGCCAGGGCATGGCTGCAACTCCTCATCTTCCCCCATCCCTGTCACAGCAGGGCTCATCTGCCAGCTGGGGCTGTTGCCCCCTTGCCCTGTTGCCTACCCCTCTGCTCTGGCAAGGAAGGGGAGCCTGTGGCTTTCGGGTTTTGGGCAGGGCTTTGTTCTCTCCCTCTTCCTCCTGCCCACCAGCCAGGGAGATGCTTTGCTGGGGTGGAGGCCATGATGGGCTGAAGGACCAGCTGTGCTCTCCCTGGGGAGGGGCTGGGGCATGGGGCCTGGCCCAGTTTGAGAGGTGAGGGGTGCGCAGGGGAAGGGGTGAGGGCAGCTCACTTTGGAGTTGTTCTGGGGCCAAGCTGGGAAAGGGAGGTGATGGCGTGTTGGGGCTGCATGTGGGTGAGTCTCTGAGCACCCTAAAAATGCATCTGCCTTCTGCCCACGCCAGGAGACTGTGGGCAGCCAACCCCCAGGGATGGTCCCCATCCTGCTTCCCTTCTCTCTGCCCTGTCAGAGCTGAATGGATGAATTTGGGCTAGAACTCAGGGGTCTGGAAACATCTTCCCCAGCCTTGCTTAAAGTGCCAGACCAAGCCCCATCTCTGCCCCCAGGTACATTTGGATCTTAGAGGACTCTTGACCAAGGGTGCATGGGATGCCAGTAAAGGGATGCCACAATTATCTGTGCAGAAGGGGAGAGTAGTGCCTCCCCCTTTAGCCCTGACACCTGCTTGGTGGGGGAAGGGGACCCCTGCCCCCCAAACCAGCTGTGGCACAAGGTTGCACAGATAGCTGGTTGGATGCTGGACACCAGCTGGGTGCAGCCAGCAGCACTGGGGGGTCTCTTCCAGAGAAGAAACGTGGCTGGCAGGGCTTTGCGGGCTGTCTGCTCTCCTGTCGGCTCACATGCGTTACTCTCCCCCTCTCTGGCTCAGAGCATTTCTACTTCCCCTCCCGAGAGCCTGCAGGATGAGGAGCGGACAGGAGGCACGGGGCTGAAGCGGAAGCGGGAGGAGAAGGACCTGCCTGGGCATTATGTGAGTGCACCAAAGAGTGTGGCCGTGGGAGACGGGCCCAGGCCCTGGAGGTGTCCTGTGTCTGTGCCTGCCCTGGCTGCAGAGGGCTGTAATCCTGCGAAAAGAAATGAACAAAATGTAGAGCTCTGGGGAGGCCCCTCAGCGAGAGGGTTGAGTCGCTGCCTGCAGGGCATGGTGGTGGTCCATGAGAAGTGATGTGCAGGAGAAAATGGGGTCTCTCTGCTGCCTGGGGTCCTGTGGGGCAGAGCCCAGAGCTTGGTCCAGCCTCTCCTACTCCTGACTGAGCCTTTCTGGGTTTCTTCCCCCTTGCAGGATAGCGATGGGGACAAGAGCGACTACAACCTTGTGGTGGATGAGGTAAGCCCACACCTTTAAGGGCATACTGAAGCCTTGCAGGGTATCCAGCTCAAGCTGTAGTCATCAGGTTTAGGACCCTGGTTCTCGAGCTTTGGGGTTTGTTAGGCTCCGGCTCATTGCTGCTGGGCAGGAGCGGCCAGCCAGGACATGTGCCAGCCCTGCCCTGATGTGTTCATGCCAGCCAAGGCTGACTCCGACTCTATGCTCCATGTTGGAGGCTGTACCAGCCAGGGCTCAGCTTTGCCAGCCATAGACTTGGCTCTGCTTCACAATCCCGTTTCAGCCCCTCTCCTGTAGCATCCCATATGGGGAGGCTGATAAGCTGGGATGAGAGCCACAGAGAGCTGGGCTTGCTGCTGGCAGCTCACACATGTGGAGGTGGCAGGAGCAGGCAGACCTGCTGTGCTGCTTTTGGCAGGAGAGCTCAACAGTGCACCCCCGATGCAGCCCGGCCCTGCCAGCCCCCATCCGGGCAGTCACATATGGTGCCTGGCCTTAGAGCAGCCTTGACTTTAAGACACTGAGCCTGTGTCCGTGCCTCAGTGCAGGAGGTACACTGAATTTCAGTCTCTTGCAACCAAACTGCCAGGCACTTCTGGTACAACCTTCCCTGACCACCAAGGCAGATACAACAGTACTTTATCCCAGCCCCAGCTATTCTTGGCAGAGATGGTGTTTTTGGGGACATCCCTTTTCCTCCCCTGGAAGACTGGGGGGAGGGACAACACACGTGATTTTTTTTTTTTTTTCCTCCTGCCACTTCCCAAGAAAATACAAGCCCTGAAAGGAACATCAGCAGGGATTTCTGCAGAAAAAGACACTTATAAAAATTGCTGTCGGTGTAATTACGGTGATAAAAATCGCAGCCCTAATTGAATGGTTATAGGAGTGCAAGAGCTGATGGGTGGCCTTGGCTCTGAAATGCTGTCAAGGGGCTGCCAAGAGGCTCTTTCTCAGTTCCTTGGGTGTGCTGGTCGCCATCCCTAGTTGTGAAGGCATCCGTGGCCACCAGTGTCCTCTGAATCTGCTGTCACCTCTAATTTTGTTCAAAGAGAAAAATCAAGGAGGTTTCTCATTCAGGGGACTGTGGAGCAGGGCTGAGGCCTCTAAGCGGATGCTCCTTGTTAATGCTGCTCAGGCAGACATGGGACAGCGAGTGGCTGGATGAGCAGCTTGTGCAGCAGGCAGGGGGGAGCAGATGGAGGCTTGATGGTCCCTGCTGGGCTCCAGGCCCGGGGGTGGCTCTCTGGGGCCCCTGTCGTGCCTGCCCTCCTGCACAGAGGGACTGGGGTTCCCACTCCTGAGAGACCTCTTTTGCCCCCAGGACCCCCCCTCGGAGCCCAGCAGCCCCGGCCGCGCACCCAGCAGCCGGCTCCCGCCAGCCCGCCGGGAGATGACTGAGAGCCCTGCCTCCATCAACTCTAGCCGGAGCACGACGCCCCTCAAGCCGAAGGACCAGAGTCTGGTAGGGAGGCGCGTGGGCAGCCCGGGGCCGTGGGTGGGCAGTGGGGCCGGGGACGTGGCCCCGGATTTCTCTGTGGCCTGTCTACTGCCGCCCAAAGGTGGGCAAGGAGATGCCAGTGCTGAGTGTTTGGTACCCACCGCTGGACTCCCCAACACTGGGAGCAGAGGTCCATGCCCTCGGAGGGAGGCTAATCATCTGCTAGGCAGAGGCCTGGCTCTGCAGGTATTTTCCATCTGCCTGCCTGCAGGATTACCCAGAGCTGCTCATAGAAATCAATTTTTCTTTTTTTTTTTCCCCCCTCCTCCTTGCCAAGCACCAGCCCAATGCTCAGATTGAAACATCAGCATGCAGGAAGGGGAAGGGACGTTTCTACCACTCCTTGGCCCTCCCAGCCACCGCAGGGACTGAAGCGATGCATCCCCGCCATCCTGGGGTCAGGAGCCGGCTGGGTGCCGCAGGGAGCAACAAGCGGTGGCTCCCCAGCACAATCGGATTAGAGCAGACAAAGCGCCCTGAGCAATCTGCCAGCGCAGCATGTAGCTTTTCTCTGTTATTAATTTTTTTTCCTTTGCTGGTGTCGACAAAATCCCCAGGCAGAAAAAGAGGAAGAAATAGGAGAGGCAAGAAAAAAGAATGAAACAGCTGTGGGGATTGACGTTCATCCCAGGCATCCTCCTGGTCCTGCTCCGCACAGGCTGGGGACGGGGGTGCCCCCCGCACAAGAGGGATTTCACACAAGGGAGCAGCAAATCTCTGTGTGATGGCCCCACGGGGCCTTGTGCCAGTGGCAGGGTGCTGCAGGGGTGGAGGATTGTGGCAGTTTGGAGTGATGCAGGGCTTGCATTGGGCATTTGCACCCGGGGAGGGGAGTGGAGACATGTGGCTCCTTCCACGCTGTGGGAAGGGTGTGAGGGGCAAAGGAGGAAAGGAGCACGGTTCGGGCCCAGGACGGCCGAGTCCCTGTCCAGCTCTGTCTGGGAGCGGTGCCTCTTGGTGCCCCCCTCCTGTCCTGGATGGTTCGAGGCTGTTGGCGGGCCTGCGGCACTGGGGATCGCTCTCCCAGGCCGTGGTCCTGCCGCTGAGGCTGCTCTTCCCTCTGCCGTGCAGACTGACCCTCCAGCCAGTGCTCCCATCTCCAAGCCCTCCGCTTCTTCGCCGCCCCGTGACTCCCTCACACCCGGCCCTGGGCCCAGCTCGGCCACCCTGCTCCGGCAGCCCCCTGCCAAGGCACCTGCCACCGACACCATCAGTGAGTGTTCGGGGATGGTGGGGGGGTGTCGTGCTCTGCTGCGGATGGTGCCGTGGGGCTGGGGTGAGGGGAGGCAGAATGCTCTCTCCTGTCAGCAGAGCCGGGGCGTCCGTTTTGCTCCACGTAATCAAACATGTTGACCACGGCCAACGTGTGCACCTATGTGCAATTACCACATACCTGACTGCCAACACTTTCCTGGCAGGCTCAGACCCACTGGAAGTGGTGTGTCAATGTGTGGAGCTCTTTGCTATGGGTGTTTGGGGTGGGGCAGGTGTTTTGTCTGGAGATGGTAGTTTTTCTCTGACAAGTTGTTATTTTAGTGTTGCTGTGTGAAGCCACATGGTTCAGGGCTTGGCTGCTGGGGTAGGAGGGTTGGCCGAGTGCCACCACAGGGACACAGGGATGCAGGAGGCCAGGACATGGCTGGTCTCCCTGTGCAGCTGAGGATCTCCATAGGGGTGAGGGTCTGCATGTGCTGGGTGCTGCAGAGACCCTGGGTGAGATCCAGCTGACCCAGGAGCCCCTGTCAATGGCTACCACCTTCTTCTGAAAGCATAGGGGAAGGGGGGTGAGTGCACAGTAGTGACCTCTGTGGTGGCTGATGGTGAACTGGTCATGCCCCCTTTTCCTGCCTCAGTTTCCTTGAAGACATTTAGGGAAGCCTTGGGAAGAGGTCTCTGGAACAGCTTGGCCACTGTCTAGCCAAAGGGACCAGAAGGTGATGGGAGGAGGACAGCTAGCCTAGGGGAGAAGTAGAGCCAGGACTGGAGAAGTTAAACCCAACCCTTGCCTGGCTAGAAAATTACAGTGGTTTAGCAAAAATTGAATTGGAATCGATTTCAATAAACCATCAAAACCCTGGAGGTAGAGCCACTTAGCCATCAACTGCAAGTAATTTGGCCTGGCCAAGACTGAAAAGGCGTTGGCAGCAGAGATGAGGGTTGCTGTGGGTTAGCGGCTGGTCCGTGGTGCATCCTTTGGAGGGACGGAGCCATTTGATCTCCTGTGCTGGATCCACAGCAATCTTTGGCTCTCGATCCATAACCTGCCTGCCCTCCTCCTGATCCACTGGTTCATGCCAGGCTTGGCTGGGCCCAGTGCAGAGCTGATGCTGCCTCTTGTTGCCTGGCTTCTGCCAGATGCCCCTTTCCCTCAGGTGATGCTCGCTCACACCTGTCGGCCAGGGCCAATGAGGGTGTCTTTCCTCGTGCAGCTCTCCGCAGCCCGCTGAGCATGTCCAGCCCCTACACGTCCTCCTTTGGAATGGTGCCTCATGCCACCCTCAGTGGGGAGCTCCCAGCCCCCAGCATGTACATGGGCATCCACCTCTCACCGCAGGTCAGCAGCGCCGTAATGTATGGCCGGTCCCCGATGGTAAGTCACCAAGGGATGGGCCCAATCTGCTGGCATGTGTTGGCTTTGCCTCCTGTCCCCTGCTGTCCTGGGCATGCACTGTCCCTGATGTGCAGTATCTGCACTGCTGCAATGAGCTCAAGCCAGGAGGGTGCAGCCACAGGAGGGACCCCTTTCTGGAGGTGTCTGGGTTGTGGGGCCAGTGGAGGCTGCAGAGCTCACAGAGAAGCACCCACTGGTGTATAGCTGTGTCTTTGGGAGCCCGTTTTGGCCTTTGTCACTTGCATGTGGAGGAAGCAGCAAGCAGGGACCTTGTGCAGAGCCGGGCTGGCCCTGTCCCAGGGCATGCGGGAAAAGGCATGAGCCCAGCCTTTGTGTCCCCTCCTGGGGGTTTGGCACTTCACTCATCATGTGCCCTTTGCTTTGTGCAGGTGGCTTTTGAGTCGCACCCTCACCTGAGGGCTTCTACCATCTCATCTTCACTCTCCACCATCCCTGGAGGGAAACCGTAAGTGTGACCGCACGCAGGGGCTGCAGCGAAGGTGGGCAGCAAGGGGCTGAGCCGGGCAGCATGGGGTGGGCGCAGGGGGAGATCTCCTTGTCCATGGCTCATTTCTACACCCAGCAGGTGTAGGGCAGGGCGGGGCCTTGCTGGAGTTTCTTTCCACTTCTGAGTCCAATGCTGTCATTTTGTTCCAGGCAGCTGGTGGTAACAAGGAGCTGGTTAATTATATCCCTCATTAGCCAGAGTGCACCGGACACCTTCCACCTGGCTCGAGCGTGGCTAATGGGAGAGGTTTGCTCCTGCACTCAGGCATCACACAGGGATTGTTCAGTCCTCTCTTCTGCTCCCTTCCAGTGCCTACTCCTTCCACGTCAGCGCCGACGGGCAGATGCAGCCGGTGCCTTTCCCACCTGATGCCCTCATCGGCTCTGGCATCCCCCGCCACGCGCGGCAGCTCCACACCCTGACCCACGGTGAGGTGGTCTGCGCTGTCACCATCAGCAACTCCACGCGACACGTCTACACTGGGGGCAAGGGCTGTGTGAAGGTGTGGGATGTGGGGCAGCCAGGCACCAAGACAGCCGTGGCTCAGCTGGACTGCTTGGTAAGGAGGGGTGCGCCGCCGCCCTGGCACAGCTTGTTTCCCTGTTGCCCTGCACTGTGCCACCACACTATGGTGAAGAGGGGGTCTGGGGTCCCCATCGGGGACCTCAGGGGTGCAGGGGGCATCTGAAAGCAATGATGCGCACTGAGGAGAGTCTCCGTGTGCGTTTCTAAGTGGGGGTGGTGTGGGGCTGCTGGGGAGGGCTGGTGGCTCCATGCT